GAGCCTCTGCCGCAGACGAGGCTGCAGCTCCTGATGATGAAGATGCTGCGGCTGCAGCGCCTGGCGGGTTTCCCCGCGGCGTCTCTCGGCTGGCGCTGCTCCTGATCTTAGGCACCCAGGTGCCCCGAGGCACAGCGCCCTCCTCGGACGCCTTGGAGCGCGTCGCCACTGGCGAGGCCGGCGTAGGGGTATACCCTGTACGCTCGAACGCCTTGGCCTTGCTGGCGATGGAGCCACTCCAGCTAGGCTGTCGCCTGCGGATCTCCAGGGAGTCCTGAGGCTGTTGCCTGGGGTTAAGTCTCTGCGCAGGCATTGCTCGAGTCGATGACTTCGGCACTTCGGAGAGGGGCCTTCCCATCTGCACATCGAACCCGAGCTCCTCTGAGCGGGTAGAAGGATTCTTCTGCCTTTCGCCCGAAGGCGTCCTATATTCACGAATCTCGCTTTTAGCCTTTGGGATCGTCGGTGGCTTCTTTGCTTCAGCTTGTGACTCCAGCAGCATTCGGCGAGTTGCCTCGCGGTTGCGCTCTTCTGCCACTCGCTTGCGCTCTGTCTCTGCTGCGGCTCGTTGAACCTCCTGCTCGTCGTCGCTCGTCATCTCGCACGTTCGAGCCTGACTGGAGACACCAGGCGGGTCTCCCCGCGGAGATCGAGTCTCCTGAGCAGGAGGGCTGTTGAGGCCCATGGTCTCGAGACGGCGATTGATCGCATCGATCTCTTCTTGGGTCATAGGCACAAGAGGTGGATGGCCCTCCTGTTCAGGAGTGCGGCCCCTGTTCGGGCTCAAGACGTCGCTGAGGCCTACGGGGCAACCAAGTCTGTGTCCCTGGAATTCCTGTGAGCACGGACCGCAGGACGCGCTGGGCCTGTAGCGGCGACGCTCCTCGATGATGGCTCTCAGCTGTCTCCGCGCTGCCTCTTTATCAGGACGTCGAATGTTCGTCGCGAGCTGATAACCACCCCGTATGGACCTGCATTGGGCGCCCCTGTAGATCGGGTTGCCCCGTCCAAAGGCAGAGTGCTCACCCGTTTGGCGCCTAGGGCCATCGTAGGCGAGCAGCTGACCCCCCATCGAACGGCATGCTCTGACGGGGCTGCCTACCTCCATTCACGCGGGAGCCGTCCTTGGGGGTGCGGATCGTCCCTAAGACGCGGATGTGAGCGAGACCTCCTGGCCTGTTCATCGGATGACGCTGCTGACGTAGCCTGAGCAGGAGCTGGCGCGGTTTCCTGGGTAGGCGTAGGCAGCGCATCCTGAGCGGGCAGGTCTCCCTGCTGACTGGAGTCAGGCATGATTGGCTCTTGTGCGGATGGTTGTGCGTCAGAACCGTCTGGGTCGAAGTCCACCTCCTCGTCTTCGCCTCTGACGTCCATCGTGAAAATGGTGGTCTCGTCCTCGCACAAACCACATCCGTCTTCATCTTCAACTTCTAAAGTAGGATTGCCAATGACAAGGGTCATTGGCCCAGCCGGGGCGGGCAGGTTTCCCCGCTGTAGAGGCGTCTGAGCACCGCTAGGCTGTCCCGGCGTCGGCGGCACGGTGGTCGGACCAGGCTCGTTACCGAGCACGGCGCGCCCCTCGCGCTGAGCATGGTCATAGAAGGTCTGCCCGATGAAGTTACGCACGGCCGCATGGCTGGGCTGTAGCCCCACCGCCTGGAGACCCCATCCCGGCGGAGGGGGCGCCTGTCCACGCATCGTGATAGCCCTCTGGTGGGCTTGGCGCCAGCGCCCCTTTGCATACCATACGTGCCGCTGCGCGTCGTCAGGGACCACGCTGTCGATGAGAGTGAAGGCCGCCGGCAGCAAGTCCGAGTCGTCACAGGAAAAGGAGTCTCGCAGCATCACGAGGCCGCTCTCAGCGCTCTGTTGATTATCAGGATACTCTTCAGCTTGAGCGGCGTGCATCTGCATGAGGGTCTGCAGCACCGTGCATGGCCCGCACTCGCCCGGCGCGAGCATACCAGGTGGCTCGTGGTGATTTCCTGGCACGCCCACGGTGAAGGCTTGAGCCTCCAAGTCCATCAGTTCGCAATAATCCGGCGGATACACTGGAATAGGCCTATTTCCAGGCAAGGGGTCAGATTGCTGGCGAAGGTTGTACTCGACCTCAGAGGGTGAGGCTTCGACAGTGACGTCCTCGTCGCTGCTCTCGAAGGCCATGATGTTGCCTGGATTGCCGAACATTCAGTCGAAGGAGGAAAGGGGCTGGTTTCCCAGCGTTCCGTTCTCCACAGGCCTGAGCTCGATGGCTCCGAAGTTGATCCTGCGGAGGTACTCGAGGTAGTACGCGTAGAGCCCGTGGCCGCACGCCTCGGTCTCGCCCAGAGTGCCCATGTCACTGACCCAAGTGAAAAATATATGTCCCACAGCCTCGAAGTCTTGAAGGCTCAGATGCTCAATAGCAGGTTCACTTGAGCCTAAATGGATTTCGGACGCGCTACCCTTTCCATTCCCTTTGACTGGACAATCCTTCACAAGATGATCTGTGCTGTCACATCCATGGCACCTCAAGATCTGGCCGTCTCTACCTCGCGGGTTCCCCCGCCTACCTCTGCCTTTGCCCGGCGTTTCCCCGCGGCCTTTTCCACGACCTTTTCCCCCGGTGGATATCTCATCATACTGATCACCTGAAAGCCTCTGGAGGAAAGCCGCGGCGCCTCGTCCGTTCAACCTTCGGCGACCCCGTTTGCCTTTGCCTTTGCCTTTGAAGCTCCTCCGTGTCCTCCTCCTAACACGACGCACTGGTTTTCGTGTAAACCTCCTCCACATACGCTTTGCTTGTTGGAATAACCAAAACAGATGCTCGGCACGCTGATTATCACTTCCCATTTGCATGATATCTGACCAGTCTAGTGGTTCGATGCCATCTGACGATATCGTGTCGGTGTCGGTGCCTGAGTCGACATCGTCGTTACCTAGGTAGGTGGCTACTCCGTCGTTTAGGGGGGTCGCTTCCCCCAGGCTGAGGTTCTCTAGGAGGAGGGCTGGTTGCCCAGCTCGGTTGCGATCGACCCCCTGCTAATAGGGCAGTAGATTCGCCAGGAACGTCGGTCCATATGTTTGCGGGCCTTTGCCAGGCAGAGCTTCAGAGGTTGAGGTAGTATAGAACTTCCCCCTGCCAGTTCCCCTTCCCCTTCCAAACGCTGATCCTATGTTGCCAGGAGACCGTTCTGACAAATGGCGTATCTCGAGCGCATCCTCTCACACAGTTATTCGTACTGTTGTTGGGTTCGATGCATTTGGTGGTTGAGTGGTTGTAAGAGTTGCATGGCTCGCTGGTTGCCAACGCCTAGGGCGCGGAATAGGATCGTCGTAAGCAGTTGGAAGTTGGGAGGGTCAAAGCCCAACGATTGTGCCTCAAGACGGGCCATTTCGAACCGAGTAAGGGTTACGTCGATTCGTTCTCCGTGAGGTACATGAAAGTAGATGAGCTGAGTGCCTGAGGTGAGCTGGCGCTCATCTTCCAGGCGTTCGAACTTCATGCTTAGGAGGAACATGATATATGTTACTGGGTCGGTGTGGACACCGTCGATGTCCGCACCATAGTTTATGATGTCAGGTGGTACCCTCATGGCGAGTGTCCTCGCGGGGCAGCCCAGGCCGCGTTGTATGGCGGCTGCTTGGGCTTGTGGCGCCATGCGTCCGCTCGTGACGTTAAGCCACGCGTTGACGTCGTAAACGTACTCGCGAAAGGGTACGTTGCCTTGGGGGTCCCAGTATGGGCCATGCGTTTGCCCATCGGTGCTATTATCTCCCCGGCGCATGTGTCCGATTGCCGCTCCCAGCGCAAACCATATAATGGCGAAGATAACCAACCCTAGGCTGTGGAGGTATGGGTGATTATCGGGCGCGTTGCCGCGCTGGGGCAGGGCTAGTAGCGCCTTGTCAAGTCTACGAGGCGATTAATCTTGCGGGTCTCCCCGCCTACGCTTCAAGTAATGCGCTTTCGGTTCGTCGCCGAGCGGTTGGTGGTAGCGTAGTGATGAAGCGTATATGGTACCAATGTTGTTGTCTAGACGTCGTACCTCTCGTGTTGCTTCTTGCCCCTGAATTGGTTTTCGTAAATGTTGGTGGAGTGGTGGCGCAGGGTAGAGATTGGTCACGAGGATCGTGCCGAGTAGCGTGCGGAAAAGAAGAGCAAGAGCTGACCACACGAGAGTGCGGCCAGCTCCGCTACCAAGTCTGAAATGAATATGGTAAGTCATATTGCATCCAATCCCATGTCGAAGGAATACGATATTGGGTGTGGATGGGTAAGATAGGAGAAGATCGATGTATAGATCTTTCCAGCACGTAGCGAATACCAAGTCAGGTATCCGGGCAAATACGGCGCGCGTGCCTTGAGCCAGAAGGCAGCGACGCGCAGGCTATACTCCCGATTATCTCCCAAAGAGCTACCCTTAAAGTTCCTCCTCCTCCTCCCCCTTCTCCTCCTCCTCCTCCTCCTCCTCCTCCTCCTCCTCCTCCTCCCTTTCCTCGTCTTCGTCCTCCTCCTCCTCCTGCTCCTCCTCCTCGTGCTGCCCTCCTCGGTCTCATGTTCTATGGACGTCTCTGAATGCCTCCGCGGAGGTCTCCAGAGGCCCCCTTGGAGGCACGAGGCTCCCAGAAGCCCCCGAAGGCGCGAAGAAGTTCTGACATGTTCACGAACTTGATTATGTATCCTCGGTCCTCCTTCTTGCCCCTCCTCCATGAGAACAAAAAAACGGCACCGTCATTCGGAGGTCCGCGCGGATCTCTTGGGTCGGAGCGCGCCAGCAATGGCGCCAGAGGCGCCGCCACTAGGACCCCCGTGCTAATCCAAGAACTCCGAGCGGAACTCCGAACAACTACTTATGTCGTTCGGAGTTGTGATCAGACGACAGCACACCAGAGGATATATTATAACCACGCATGGCCGCGAGGAATGCTGGCTTGGGGATGGGAAGAATAAAACACAACACCAAACTTAGGCTTGTGCTGTGCTGTGTCCTTCCATCCTCACCCCTCCCTCGCCTTTCCTGCCCGCGACCAGCGCGTAGCGGCCGCGCAGCTCGGGCCGGCCCGCCAGCCACAGCTCCTGCGCCGGGAGCGGCGGGGTGTCCGAGAGAGAAACGGCGGCAGCACGGGCCCTCCCCGTCGCCCTCTCGTGCCACCTTCTCGTGCACCGTCCGTACCCTTTGGGGCCCCAGGGGGCCCCCTTCGGGCCCCGACCTCCTCCTCCTCCTCCTCCACCTCCTCCCCCTCCTCCTCCTCCTCCTCCTCCTCCTCCTCCTCCGCCTCCTCCTCCTCCTCCTCCTGATCCGCCTCCTCCTCCTCCTCCTCCTCCTGCTCCTCCTCCTCCTCCGCCTCCTCCTCCTCCTCCTCCACCTCCTCCTCCTGCTCCTCCTGTTCCTCCTCCTCCTCCTCCTCCTCCTCCTCCTCTTCTTGTTCCAGGGCCCCCTTAAGAGCCGTCTTGAGGGAGTTCGGAGAGCCGATTGGACCATGCTTGGGCAGTCTTGGAGCCCTCGACAGCAAGCCATGTCAGAGGAGAGGCGCGAATAAACCAAACACGTTGTTAGCCCGGGGCGTCCAGGGCGTCCGGGGCGTTCGGGGCGTTCTCTCTGAGCATTCTTGGGCCTATTGAGCGCCTCAGGGCATAGACTAATAGACCATGGCAAAGTACAGCAGAACATCTGAAACAAAAAAACATACCAGAGCGTAGGGTTGCACACGGCGTACAATATTGTGTTGTATAGCAGAGGACGTCACCCCGAATGATTCGTCGGCCCAACGGGCCAAAGGCGTGCTAAGATCTCCGGTAACAGTGTAACACGTGGCGGCCACCAAGGAGGTCCCAGCAGATCCCGGACAGGGTTCCATCAGAGATGCCAAATCTCTTGGGCGCGGCCCTGGGGGCCTCCGGAGCGATCAAGGAGCGGCCCAAGGAGCTGCCAAATAGGTGGCAGGCCCCACGGCCTGAGGCCAGGAGCGCTCCAAGACCGCCCCAGACGGCGTCGAGACGACCCAAGATGCCCCCAACACGCCCCAAAAGGCATCCAAGAGGCGTCCCAAGAGGGACCCAAGAGGCAAAAATCAACGTTTTCCCATTAGTTGTTGAAGGATTTCGGCGATTTCGCCGTTTCAGCTTCCCGATGCTCCCAGACGACCCACAGCGCCCCAAGACGGCTCAACAGCTCTCGAAGAGCGCCCCAAAACGGCCCAAGAGGGCCCCAAGACTGGCCAAGCGGCCTCCAAGACGGGCCAAGAGGCCTCCAAGACGGTTCCTCCTCCTCCTCCTCCTCCTCCTCCTCCTCCTCCTCCTCCTCCTCCTCCACCTGTTCCTCATCATTATCCTCTTCCTCCTCATCCTGCTCCTCCTGCTCCATTTCCTCCTTCTTGTCCTTCTCATTATTATTTTCCTCCTCCGCCTATTTTTCCTCTCTCTCCTCCGCCCTCCTCGTCCGACCTCCTCCTTCTCCTCCTCCTCCTCCTCCTCCTCCTTCTCCGCCTCCTCCTCCTCCTCCTCATCCTCCTCCTCCACCTCCTCCTCCTCCACCTCCTCCCCTCCTCCTCCTCATCCTCCTCCTCTTCCTCCTCATCTCCTCCCTCCTCCTCCTCCTCTTCCTCCTGCTCCTCCTCCTCCTCGTCCTCCTCGTCCTTCCTCCCACCCGATCCTCCTCCTCCTCCTCCTCCTCCTCCTCCTCCTCCACCTCCTCCTCCTCCTCCTGCTCCTCCTGCTCCTCCTCCTCCTCCTCCTTCTCCTCCTCCTGCTTCTCCTACTCCTCCTCCTTCTCCTCATCCTCATCCTCATCCTCCTCTCCTGTCCACGATCGCGCCTCTACACGGTTACCCCCAAACCTCGCCCCGGCCACACAAGATGACACAATAGCAGCGGGGGGGGAAGCACAGAGGACAGGAGATTGAAGAATGCGTTCTTTTGTCTTGCGATCGCATTCACAGGCCGACATACGGCAAAATAGAAACGTTCAGACTGGCAAAGAATGTCTCCAACTTACGGAATGGACCCAAGGCGACCATCCATTATCAACAATCCCACAAAGACACAAGCACAGCACCGACCAGCCCCGTGATAACCCACGACTGCCCTGACAACACCGCCTGAATCTGCGACGAAGCTCCGAAACCATCTCCAAAGTCACTGCGTCACCTCCAACGCACCCCACGTATCCCCTCAGGGAAAACAGCACCCGCCCAGCCGCACAGCATTGACAGCGATCAGTCGGGCAATCGACAGCGGTTGGACAGCTTGGGCTGGCGGCATGAGCGAAACGATCAAATATCGTTGTCTGTCAATGCGTGGCTTCGGATACAATGATACCACGGATAATAACATTGCGTAGCAGTGCGCTGTTGAACATACATGGCCCCATATGCCATATGGCATGCCGCAACAGCGCCCTCCATGACAACGCGTAGTGCGTCGTGTGGTTGCATGGTACAGCACAAGTGCCAACTATTGCATGGCACTGCACATGCTGGCTGCTCATGGCATAGAATTGCACACTGTGGGATTTCAAAGAACGGCGTAGCGTAGCTTTGTACCAAAGTCTTGCACATCACAGCACCGCATCGCATAATACAGCATATCACCACGCTACGTCGCACGCAAGCGCATCGCATGGTATGACATGGCAACGCATGTAATGGCAGAGCGCGGCACTAGAAGTTTGGGACAATGGCGGGACAAATCCCGCGGAACGCCCGCATCCCCCAAGGGAGCCCATGCAGGGGCACGGAGAAGCACCGAGGAAACGATCGAAGACCTGATGGAACGGCTCGCTATAGTAAGCGGCCTTCGGGCACCGACATAATAGCATGTTTGGTTTGAAGCAGAAGCTCGAGGAACGCCCCCGACGCAGACTGGACTGAGTACGACACTGGCAAAACCGAGGACAAAGCAACGACGAAGGAGGGGGGGGCGCTGCAAGAACTTCGGCTCCTCTTCTCGGGAGCGGCCAAGATGGGGGTGGCCAAGGGGGGGTGCAAATCATGGCCGGCGGCATGTGCGCGGCCCAGGGGGGGGGGGCCAGGGACGTAATGATATAGGAAGAGGCGCCATGAAATCTGGGGACATATCATGGCCCACGCCATGATATCCCCCCCCTAGTCATCACACCCCTCTTTGCCGCCCCCGATCTTCCGGCCGACCTCGGAACGGACCTGCTCTGCAAGCCCATGGGCCCGAACCCGGGGCCCCAAGCCCCCCCAAAAGAAACCGGCCGTCCTGACTCTGCCCGCGACGCCCGGAGGCCCGGGGGCGGTGGAGGACGTCGCGCCCGTTCGACTGTCACCGGGGCTGTCTCGGGCCACCGCGAGCTCCTGGATGTGCAGGACATGTGTTTCTCAAAAGGGCACTCTGACAGGGCTCCCAACTTCGCGCTTCGCGCTGCGCGAAGCGCGAAGTACGAATAACTTCGCGCCCACGTGCCGCCTCCCAGGGAAGAGGACGATGGGGAGGAATCGGAGCCGAACCGCGAAGCGCGAGTAACTTCGCGCCCTCGAGGGCACCCTTGCGGACATGCGAGATCTGTTTTTTTTTCAGATGGGCACTCTGGAGGGGGCGGACGAGGAAGGTCAGGAGGGAACGTGGGGGGCGACAATTACATACATCACCAGCCGGGAACAGATCCCTGTCCCTAAGCTGGGCATCGCCGCACCACAGTGCCAATCCTGGGGATCCCCTCAGTTCTTCATGGCGCACCCCTAAGACTGTCACCGCCTTTTGGCGTGTCATATGGATACTCCAGATTTCGTAATAAAGGGAGGGGGGTCTCATTTCGGGGGGGGGTTCTTCCAGGCTATCTTGGAGGGCCTGGGGGGTCTGGGGACGATGTTTTGGGGGGTTCTCCCACGGGGGAGATCTGAAATGGCTTGTCTTGGGGGGTCCAGACCCCCTCCCTTTTATTACGAAATCTGGAGTAAGGATACTTTCGAGGCTGGTGAATACTTGGTGTCGCCAGCCCCGTGGCCCCCATCATAGCGAGCCACGGAGGTCGGCCCACGGATGGCGGACCTGGAGGGGCCCACGAGCACACAAAGAAATACACACAGATAAAAGGATTCCCCATATGTTCCCATATGTTCAGGGTCTTCGTCTTCCCCCCCACTTCCCATAGTTTCCCATATTTTCCTTGGGATCGACGATTTAGTGTCTGTGTGTTTTTTGTCCCTCCTGAGTGTTCCCCCCCAGTCTCCCTGACCTCCCCCTTGGTCCTGGCTGGCCCCAGGCCGGGGACCAAGGGGGAGGTCAGAGAGACCTCCTGAGGACCAACCTCCTGAGGACCATCCGGACGGGCCCCGGGGCCATCGGGGAAGCCAAGGGGAAAGCCCGACGGCTGACAGTGTTCGGAGCGGCGGGGATTCCGACTCAGACTGCTCAAAGGCACCCCCTGCCCCCTGGCGCGGGCCTCTTGCAATGCTGACCGACGCCGACGGGCGACGACGACAGCGAAGACGACAGCGGACTGCGAATGGACTAGTGGGGGTGGGGTGATGTGTGGGCGTCCTGCAGCCCCGAAGGACGAGACGACCACGGACGACAACGGCGGACTGCGGATGGCACTGGGGAGGGCTGAGACAACGGCGGACTGCGGATGGCAAATGTGTGGGGGGTTGCTGCGTGGGCGTCTGGCAGTCCTGGGGCGACCACGACGACGACGACCACGACGACGACGACGACATCGACGGACGAAGGACGAAGGACGACGGACGACGGACGACGGACGACCAACGACGGACGACCGACGACGGAAGACGGACCACCGACAACGACCAACGACGACGACGACGACGACGACGACGACGAGGGCCGACGGCGCCGACAACGACGACGACGAAGACGACGGGATGACAACCGACGGGATGACGACGGCCAACGCGACGCCCAATAAAATTCTGGGGGGGAGGCGGGGGGTCAGCCCTACACAATACGAAGGCGAACCTGTATTTCCTGAATCGTCCTCCTCCACTACGGGACCACATTTGCGTCCGTCCGGTATTCCCCTTGGCGCTCTCCTGGGGCTGTCGCGCTATCCGCCAGGATTGGCGATCTACGCTTCTCGGGAGCATTGCTCACAA